AGTCAAGCTGGGGGCAACTACAGGCTGACCTCGGGGCTCCTGCCCCACGCACCCCATCCCTCCATAGGTCAGAAGGGGTGACAGGGCAGAAGAGGCTTACTTATCTCTAATACTCCCTCAACCACTGCACCCACAGATGCTTCCCTTTCTGCATGCTAACATCTCCACTGCCCTGAGCATGCCTGTTCCTTTCTTGTTGTTGTTGTTGTGTGCCGTTGAGTCGTCTGCAACTCATAGTGACCCTATGTACAACAGCCTTAAACCCTGACCTATCTTGTGCCAATCTCACTATCTCCGACACATCTACCCCCATTACCCCAGTCACTGAATCAATCCATCTCACCGAGGGTCTTCCTCTCTTGTGCTGTCCCCTCCACCTTCCCAAGGAAATGAACAGGTTTTTCCTGGAGAAGAACAGGTTTGTCCTGTGAAGCCAGGCCGCTCCTTGGAGGCAAGGATTCTAAAGCTCCATCTGACATACTTTGGACATGTTGCAAGGAAGGACCAGTCCTTGGAGAGGGACGTCATGCTTGAGAGGGTGGAGGGACAGCGCTTCCTTCTTAGGGGACTCCAAATGCAAGCCTCACTCAGCATAATGTCCTTGGTCACCAAAGGACAAACACTGTATAAAATCACCATTACAAAAAGCTAGAGAAAGGCTTATATACAGAGGGAGTCATTCTAACCTGGTTACAAGAGAAAGGAAATGGTGAGGGAGTATAAAAATTCATTAGTAGACAAATACTTATTAAGACGAGTGAAGGGGGAAGTCTAATATGAAATGAATGGGCTGGATGATCAGACACTGTGTGTATTGTGACTGATGTTATAGAGCAAAACATTCATGACTTGATGGGGGGAAAATCCAATACACTTTGCAAAATCTTTCACTCAAATCACAATTTTCACCAAAAACACTTGAAATTCATTGCCATGGAGTCAGAACTGATTCCTAACTGATCCAGCATTGCGTTCCTGGGCTTGTAAATGGCACAGGAGATCACCGATCTTTCTCCCACAGAGCTGCTGGTGGATTCTAGCAGCCAGAGAGATGCGGCCTCTGGGTAAGTGGGACAAGTCTCTGTAGACTCCACCACCAGAGCTTCCCCGTCGTCTTCAAACATACAAACAGAGCAACGACATGATTCTTCAAGTCTGCTCTGTCACAAGGTATTAAAACCTGGCCCCCAGAGCTCCCTCCTCTCAAGGGAAGGAAGTCTCTGCGTCAGGGCCAAGTCTTGATGACAAAAGGGCTTCTGAGGGTGGCACGCTAATTAGAAGGGAGAACCCAGTAGGAAACAGCTTCTAACATAATGTCCCCACTGCACATCTTAAAGGCTGGCTCCTACTCAATCCTTTTTCCCTACTGATCCCTTTGCAGACTTGAGGAGATTCCAAAAGTCTGTTTTAGAAGCACTCCATTTAGGTAGTGAGAACATTTCTGTCATTCTACTGTCTACCCACGATGCTATCTGTATCTTGTCACTTAGTGTTAACAGTGGCCTCTACACACAACATTGTAAATATATGAACTGTATTCTTCTTCTAGGAAGAGTCTTGAATATACCATGGACTGCCAAGAAAACCAATAGTTCTGTCTTGGAGAGGGTGAAACCAAGTTTCTCCTTGGAGGCTAGGATTTTGAAACTCCACGTAACTTTGAGCACATGGCCAAGAGGGATCAGTCCTTGGAGAAGGACATCATGCTCAAAAGGATTGAGGGACAGTGCAGGAGAGGAAGACACCGGATGAGACAGATTAACACAGTAACTGGGGTATTGGGGGGTTCAGAATTAGTGAGACTGGCTCAGGAAAGGGCAGGGTTCTGAGCTGCTGTGCATAGGGTCGCCATGGGTCACAGGTGATTCGAAAGAACATAACAAGAACATATTCATTAGAATTTAAATGCCCCAAATCATGGGTACGCTTCCTCATCACATAAATGGTACAGTGTAACTGCCATTACCTGCCCGAGTCATCTCAGTAAACAGTGATGTCCATTTTTCTATGTCTTCCCGAGCAAATTCCTATGTGATAGACCCCTATGCAGTCCCTAATGTCACAACTACCACCATCACCAGTTGCCATGGAGTGGATGCCTACTCATGGTGGCCACGGGGCATCAGAGTGGAAGGTGCTTCATGAGGTTTGCACTAGCTGGTTTCCCAGGAGGGTGTCAGGCCTTTATTCTGAGGTACTTCTAGGTGAACTCAAACCTCTAGGACAAGGAGCTGAGCTTGTCAACGGTTTTCCCCCATGGGTTCCTCTGGTGTCCAGTTTTTGCTATTGTTGTTGCCACTGTTACTAAGTGCCTCTGAGTTGCCTACTAGTCAGAGTGACCCTATGAAAATGGAACCAGACCTTGCCCCGTCCTGTGCCATCTCCGTGGACTCTGATATACTGGAGCCTGTTCCAGTCAACAAGTCAGTTCATCTCTTAGACAGTCTCCCTCTCTCTTTCTCTGACCCTCCACCTTCCCCAGCATGAGGTCTTTTGCCAAGAACCAGCCCCTCCTGACCACATGCTCCTAGTATATGCGATGAAGATACACCCTCCTGGCCTCCAGGGGGCACTTGGTTGTACATTCTCCAGGCCAGCTGTGTTTATCCTTCAGGCCGTCTGTGGGATAACCCATACTTATCTCCTACACCACACCTCAGAGGCATACATCCTTCTGCAGCCTTTCTCACTCAGTGTCCAATTTTCACGTCCATTTTCCTATGTCTTCCCAAGCAAATTCCTATGATAACCCCTACACAGTCCCTAACGTCACACCACCACCATCGCCAAGTTGCCATCGCGTGGATGTCTACTCATGGTGGCCCCAGAGCATCAGAGTGGGATGTGCCACCCATATATGCATCACCTGTGGCCCGTAGCCAACCTATGCACAGCAGCTCTGAACCCTTCCCTGTCCTGAGCCAGTCTCACTAATTTAGACACACCAACCCTTATTGAAATTGAAAACACAAGCTACCAAGCCCAAGGTGGTAAGCACTGGTCTGTGCATTGCTGTACAGAGGTAACTTGTGGTTGCTGTGTTGCTGAACACTGTGAAACTGATGTGCCAAATGTAGTAATGGTTACCCCTGGTGGACAGTGTTTGCTGGAGCTTCCCAACAAAAACAAGCCTGGAAGCAGGAGTGGTGGCATCCACTTCTGAAATAGTTTGCCTCCGGAAACTCAATGAACAGTGCTCAGCCCTTTCATTCATAGGGTCGCTATGGATTGTCTACGACTCGACAGCACCTAACAACAACAACAACAACCCCTATTACCCCAGTTACTGCATCAGTCTATCTCACTGGGGGTATTCCTCTCCTGCACTGTCCCTCCACCCTTTTGAGGATGATGTCCTTCTCCAAGGACACACGTGTATTCAGCCACTGAAATTACCATGGTCTGGGTCCAGTGTGGCTTAGTATTTAAACTGACACTCTTGTTCTTTGACCATTGCATTTAAATGTGCTATTATTTTCTGTACAATCATGCTTACCCTCACCCCTCTTTAATGGATTTTTCACATAGTATTTACAGCTTTATTTTCAAATATTAACTAATTCATGGCCGTTGAGTTGAAACAGACTCACAGCTGATCTTCCAACAGGTTTTCAAAGGCTGTAAATCACACAATAAGGAGGAGATTGTCCATCTTACTCCTTCCAAGTAACTTGTGGATTTGAACCACCTGTCTTTGGGTTTCCAGGACAAGTCATTAATCATCAGAGATTAAAGGGACAGAATTGTAATATGGTAACTTCAATGATGATTTTTTTTTTCTCTCAACTCTAGAAATTCAGAGTTTTCCTATTCTATTTTCTGATAAAGTCTTCTGGTAGTTTCTGTACCAGACTCTCATGCATAAGTTGTTACATGACTGTTGTTGTTGTTGTTGTTGTTGTTGTTGTTGTTGTTGTTGTTGCTATGTGTCATCGAGTGGCTTTTGACTCAAAGGCAACCCTATGTGCAACAACCCTAAACCCTGCTCTGTTCTGTGCCAATCTCACTGCCTCCGACACAACCACCCCAATTACCCTAGTCACTGAATCAATCCACCTCATAAAGGGTCTTCCCTCCTGTGCTGTCCCTCCACCCTCCCAAGCATGATGTTCCTCTCCACGCACTGGTCCCTCCTTGCAACATGTGCAAAGTATGTCAGATGAAGCCTCAGAATCCTTGCCTCCAAGATGCAGCCCAGTTTAACCCTCTCCAGGATGAACCTGTTTGTTTTCTTAGCAGTCCATGGTATATTCAACACTCTTCTCCAGCACCACAGCTCAAAGGCATCAATTATCTTTCTATCCTCCCTAGTCATTGTCTAACTCTCTGATGCATAACAACTGATTGCAAAGACCATGGCCTGTATCAGGTGCACCTTAGTCTCCAGAGTGAAACCATTGTTCTTCAGTACTTTGGAGAGGTCCCTGCCTGACTCTTAGAAGAATGGGAATGCCAGAATACTTGATTGTGCTAATGCAAAAACTATACTTGGACCAGGAGGCAGTCATCAGAACAGTGCAAGGAAACACAGCATAGTTCAAAATTGGGAAGGGTGTACGCCAGGGATGTGTTCTATATGCAGAACAGTTTATCTGAGAGGCTGGCTCTATGAGGAGAAGTGTGGCATGAGGATTGATGGAAGATTCATCAACAATCTGTGCTATGCAGATGACACAACCCTGCTTGCTGAAACTGAGGAGGACCTGAAATGTTTGCTGCAGAGGGTCAAGGGCTGCAGCCTCCAATATGGATTGAGGCTCAATATCAAGAAGACAAAGATTCTCACCACTGGACCAATTGGCAGCATCAGGATGGATGGTGAAGAGATTGAGATTGTTCACAGCTTTAGTCTACTTGGCTCCACAGTCAACATTCTTGGCACCAGCAGCCAGGAAATTAAAAGACGTATTGCGATGGGAAAGTCAGCTGTTAGGAACCTCTCCAAAGTAACATGACTAGCAAAACTAAAAAAGCACTAAGGAATGAAGCCGGGCACCTACCTTGAGCTCATTGGTGTCGGCGAGTTTAGCCTTGAGCTCCATGTTGGCCTCTCTGCTCGCACTCAGCTCCTTCTGCAGTCTCTCCACCTTCTTCTCCAACTTCCTGATGGTGACGGTGGCCTCGTCCCTCTCCACCGCCAAGGCCGTGCGCACCTGCTTCTCCTCCTGCAGCTGCGCTATCTTCTGCCGGAGCAGCGCCATGTGCAGTTCTTTGCTTTCCAGCCGTTCTTTCTGGGTCTTTAGCTGGTTTCATAGAAACAGAGATTTAAAATAATAATAATAATAAATGAGACTAGCAGTAAATATCAATTCATTACTCAACTAATGTGGATCTTATCTACATTTCAGCTTTTAAAAATTATAAACCAACAAAATAAATTACTTGATTCCTTTTCCTGATTTTATTTTTTTTAGTATATTGTCTCCAGGAATTAATTCTGTGGCTGCTAAATGTGGGAAAAAGGGGTCAAAGGGGATGCAGGGTGCGTTTTCAACATCTGATTCCCTCCAAAATCATGTGCATCATAACAAAAATAATGGAGTTCTTTCTTTCTTTCTTTTTGAAGTGGGCTTATCAAGAGCAGGACACAATAAAACATCAAAAGGTAAAATATCCTCTCCAACACCCAACAACAACTATACCTACACTGATGTTTCTGAAAGACGTTATAAAGAAGATAAATAAAGGTTAAATAAAGGCTACAAAGCTAGGCTGACACATTTCAATTGATCAGAACTGGCCTAGTGACACCAAGCATGAGTGCTGATATCTTTCTTTAAGTAAACTACCCCAGGACATGGCTAAAGAAAGCTTTGTGTGTGTACTTAAAATCTTGGGGATGAAAGGAACTTAAGGACATTATTAGCTCACTGAAGACGTCTTTGTCACTTGCCTGGGCCATGACACCTCCACAAGCCAGACACCAAAGTCCTCTAGCAGCACTTAGCACTGACAATCAAACTTGATGAAGGAAATTATAGTGAGTTTTAGAAAAAGCTGATGGACACTAAGGAGGGTGGCAGGAAAACACTTCCCGGGTTTCACATGTGACAAGTAGTAAGGAGGATATTAAATACAGAAGCCTCTCTGCTGTTCCAAACACTAGGATACAGACTCCTGTGGAATAAGCAGGTTTGGGAGCTGAAAAGCCTCACAATCTCCCTAATTACCCACATTTCACTTATCAAGAGTTACTTAAGAGTATGAAGGAGAGCCTAAAATGCAGGCTGGACCCTCTTGCCACACAGATGGCCTTGTCCATGCCACAAATGACTTTCCAACAGGGCCCTTTGAAGACTTCTCTAACACAACCTCTGTGAAGCATGAACTACCTCCCCCCCAAAAAAGGTATGTTGGCATCCCAGTCCTTACGACCGTGAACATGGCCTTGCTTGGGAATAGGAATTTCTTTTTACTATCATTTGAGGTTGGGTTAAAAACAAGGTCACATAGGAGAGTGTGATTCCTAAATCTACTCCCTTCTGAGCAGTCTCTTATAAAAAAAGGGGAGAGACAAGGAGTGGTGCACAAAAGGGGGAAAGCCCATAGATAGATCCAGTAAAACCATTCTTGTAGAATGAGTATAAGGATCCAAGAGGGGTGGGAGAGGCTGGAAGCAGAAAGATGTGGATGTGCAGGGGGAGGGGGAAATTAATCATGGGGTTGTACAATTTGTGCAAATGGGTGGAGAGGTGAGGGAAATTGAAAGAATTGGTTCAAATTTGTACTCAAAATTTGTAAATAAACTAGTATGGGAATATGTATATTAATGAAACATATTGTAAAGATATTACTATATGAAAATCAATTAAAAAAATTTTAAAAAGCAAAGGAATCTTAATGACTACTTGCAGATGGCAGAAACTATGAGAGGTTTACAAGGCTGATTTGTATGTTCAGCCTCCAGCACTGTGAGAGGAAAAAAAATTATGTTTTAAAAGCCACTCCCTTTAAAGGACTAGCTAACACTAGGAAACCAAGACAATCCCCTTCTTTGAGCTTCTTCGTGGCAAATTTCTCTCTATTGCACATCAACACTGGAAAGTCTTACACTAGTAATTTTTATTACCATATAAAATGTAAGAAGGAATAGCATTGGGTATTAAGGAAGGAAATCAATTATCTGCAAACTCTAGAAAAAATTATAGCTGAATTTTTCAACTGGTAATAGAATTTGTGTACTTTCTTATAAAAAGAAATGCTAATGATGAGAGAAGAGACCAAAAGTAAATAGAACATCTTTTATGAACCAAGAGTTCAAAAGTATTATTACTGTATTTTTATACAAACAATACACATACTCTGGGGTTTTACATAAACCACGCAAGCCCCTCTCAGAGTAGGCTCCTACGTACACGAAGTGCATGATATGCTCATACAATACTATTCCTGTGAGCATGTCACAGGCAAAAACATTGCAATTATTAACTACTTCAAGAGCTAAGTCTCTTCTTCATCTTAAATATGAGGAAACAATTTGCTCAAGGTCACACAACGTGGTGGCCCCAACTTGGAAGCCCAGATGTGCCTCATCACACAGCCTGCACACCACCACCCTATCACCAAGTTTTTCTGTGGATTATTCTAAGAACACATCTGTGTTTTCCCCTCTCTTTCCTCAATACCAATAATTATGTCACTAATACTCATATTTTTATCCTTTTTATTCGCCCACTTATTCAGTCTAAGCTGTTTCTAGCTTTTCTTTTGATTGAGTAGAAGGCAACTTCTCCTCTCTTGGCTTTCTAGTGCAACAGAGGTAGACAAAAGCAGAGATGGAGAGATGTTATCTCGTTCTCTCGTTCCCTTCCAAACATAAAAACTGTGAGCGTTTAGCCAGGCAAACGGCGACCAGACTGAAGACTCCACTTGCCAGGCGCTTTTGCAGCTAGATTCAGCCACCTAGACGTACTCTAAAAGGGGTCCATGACCACAGAAAAGGCCTGTGCCACAGCTTCAGGAAGCCCTTGTTTGTTTGTTTGTTTGTTTCTTCTAAATTTGTTTTATGTAATTGAGTTATAAAACAGTGAGCCTTTTTTTAAATTTTTAAATTATTATTCATTTTAATGGAAGTGTACAGAGACTGACGATTTCCATTCATTCATTGTTGCACTTTTCTCCCTGCCCACCCCTCCCTCCCCCTAATTCGCTCTTCTCTTTGAAAAGTAAAATTCTTTCATTGTTTTACAATCCCTCTCCTCAAGTCCACTCCACCATGAAGCCTTCGTTCTGGACTCCTGTCATGACAATAATCCCTAATCATATATCCCTTTTAGACAGTTTTCTCCCTCCTCCCTCATCTGTTTCAATACAGTATACATTATTTATCCCATCTTTCTCAGTCTCATCCCAACCCCGATGTCAGTCCTGTTTTACAACAGTGGCACTATGCAGTATTTGTCCCTGTGTGACTGAGATATTTCACTCAGCATAATGTCCACCAGGGTCACCATTTTGAATAATATTGCATGAGTTCCTTGTTTTTCAATGTAGGGAGAGGGAGCCTTTTTAAAAGACAGTTCACACTTGCTCTTTCACTTCATCTTCTACAGTCTATTATTTCTAACCTTCTGCATGGAGCACCAATCCAGGTACCACCATGAAGCATGAGGAGAAGGGCTAACCTAAGGAGATGTATTGAACTAGGGAAGTCTGCAGTCTAAAGCCTCTCCAAATTACTTCTATTTGTTTGATGAGTAAGGTGCACCTGATTCAGACCATGGTCTTTTCAATCACTTGCTATGCTACTGAGAGCTGGACAATGAATAAGGACGACAGAAGAGTTGATGCCTTTGAGCTGTGGTGCTGGAGGAGAGTACTGAATAATCCCATGGGCTGTCAATAGAACAAAAAAAAAAATCTTGGAGAAAGTGCAGCCTGAGTGCTGCTTCTAGGCAAAGATAGTGAAGCATCTGCTCACATCCTTTTGGGCATGTTGCTAGGAGACGCTATTCCTTGGAGAGGGACATCATGCTTGGAAAGGTGACGGGCTAGACAAAGAGAAGACCCTCAACCAGGTGGATTGACACAGTAGCTACAGAAATGGGCTCAAGTGTGTCAGAGATTGTGAAGATGGCACAGGACAGGACAGGATTCAAATCTGTTGTTCTTCATGTTACTATGATTTGTGTTCATAAAACAAGAATGAGAGAGTAATGAGTTGGAAGGAAACTGGCTCCCGGAGTATTTACAGGTAGAGTTTCTAGTTGGACCTACACTGCCTAGCTCTAGAATTTCATGTGTGGGGGGAAGAAAATACTTACACCTTGATAATGGAGCCCTGGTGCCTTTGTAGTAAGAAGTTGTGCTGCAATTCCAAAAGGCACGCAGTTCAAATCCACTAGTACGCTGTGGGAGACGGATGAGCAATCTCCTCCCAGATGAGTTACTGCCTGCCAGGGTCAGCTACACGTCAGTTCTGGCTCGATGGCCCGCAACAATAACAACATACTTCCATAGCAACTGTTGTATTTGGGTTCTTTACTCACAGTAAAATGCACTCTTTAGTGGCATACTTCCAACCTCTCAGATTTGAAATAGAGACTCAAGTTCTACATGTATGTTACCATGTTTACCAGCCAGACTGTTAAGATGATAGGGATAAATTATTGTCCAATACTTGTGATTCTCAGAAATGCTTTTCCTGAGTACTATCAAGTTTTCACAGCCCCACCTTTCTCTGTAAATTGTAGGCGATCGTCTTGTTTTCAATGACTGCGTGGCTCTCGAGTCGGACCAGCTGCTCTGTGCGAGCTAAAACCACATCCAGACGCATGTCAAAGCCAAGCTCGGCGGCCATCTGGTCCAGCTTCATCTTCTCTGAAAGCTGGTCCAGAAATTTAAGATACTACATCCCAAGAACAAAATTGGAAATGAGATACAAAGATAAAATTGAAGGTATACTCTCACAGAATCTTTCTCTCAAATTCACAGATAGTTCACATTAGACCCATCTAGAACACAAACCCCAAACCGTATGTTTAGTAATGGAACACCGAACGAGCCAACTAGCTCCTATTGTATTCCTTGTTCAAATTCTCTTGGTTCTCCTCATCAGTGACCTTGACACTCAAGCTAACATCAGACACTCCTTAAGTGACCTATCTGGCCGTGCTCCTGAGGACAGCTTCAGCTCTGTTTTGGTGACATGCTTCTCTAATGAAGCCTCTGGAGTACACTTGTCAATCCACTTCCCCCAAGGATCTGTCCCGCCTTGCTGGACCTTCATCCAAAGATCTAAAATGATCTTTTTAAAAGTTACTATGTTACTCCTCTTTATAAGGAGGAATACAGCATCAGGATTGGAGGAAGGCTCATCAACAACCTGCTTTATGCAGATGACACAACCTTGCTTGCTAAAACTGAGGAGGACCTGAAACGTTTGTTGTAGAAAAGTCAAAGGCTTTCACCTATTGCCTTCAATATGGATTGAAGCTCAACATCAAGAAGACAAAGATTCTCACCACTGGCCAATTAGAACCATCATGACGCAGAAGAGATTGAGATTGTCAACAATTTCAGCTTGCTCAGCTCCACAATCGACACTCTAAGCACCAGCAGTCAGGAAACCAAGACAAATTGCATTGGAGAAGCCTGCTTTCAGGGACCTTACCAAAGTGCTAAAGAGGAATGATGTCATTCTAGAGCCTCAGGTGCACCTTATCCAGGTCATGTCTTCACAATTACTTGCTAAGAATATGAAAGCTAGACAATGATTAAGGATGATAGAAGACGAATCAATCCCATTTAAGTTGTGGTGCTGGAGAAGAGTATTGAACATACCATGGACTCCCAAGAGAATTAACAGTTCTGTCCTGGAGAGATAAATCAAATTTATCCCTGGAGATAAGGATTTTGAAACCCCATCTGACATACTTTGGGCATGTTGCCAGGAAGGACCAGTCCTTGGATTGACACAGTAAGTGGGGAAATGGGGGTCGTTGTATTGGAAACAGTGAGACTGGCTAAGGATAGAGTAGGGTTCAGAGATATTGTACAAAGGGTCGCAATAAGTTGCAGGTAACTCAACACATAACAACAACAACCTTTTACTCTTGACGGGTATATTAAAACAAGACTAGGCGAGCTCTGGTGGCCTAGTGGCAGGAAGCTGCACTGCAATCCTGGAGGTGTGAGGTTCAAATCCATCAGATGCTCCACTGAAGGAGGAACAATCTCCTCCTGTACCAGTCAGATCTGTTTTGACGGTATACACAAAAATTAAAAATAATAATAATAATTTTAAAATGCTGCATTTAAAAAAAAAAAAAGCAAGAATAGTTACTGTCAAGCCAATTCCAGTTCAAGGCAGCCCCATAGGTGCCAGATTAGAACTCCAGTCTACAGGGTTGTCAATGGCTGATTTTTCCAGAAGGGATTGCCAGGGCTTTCTTGCAAGGTACCTGTAGGTAGACTTGGCATCTTGCAGTCAGTAGATGAGCATTATTTAACCATTTGTGCCACACAGAGACTGCAAACCAGAACTCACCAGACAAAAGTACTTTTACTTTTCAAGTTAAAATGCTTTGCATTGTGTCTTAAAGTGCATAACCTGTCAAAGTTAAATGAAAAATAATCTAAAATAGGGTCATATTATATATAAAAGCTTATCTGTAGGCAGGTTAAAATTACAAAACTCTTCCGGGGTTTTCCCCGGCTGGTTTCTGAGGTCTCTCTGGCCACACACACAGCAGATGCTAACTGCTGTCAGAGTGAGTGAATCAGTCAGAACATTCTAAGGTGTGCTTTTAGGATTTGAGCTCTCTCATCCCATTCTGTCTTACATTCTTCCCAATGTATCATCTCCTCTGCAACTTGCCATTTGCTGACAATTAAATGTTTAAAATAAGGGTTGGAGAAATATCCAGTGTGAAAAACAATGCATATCATGTTATGAACTTAATATGTTAAAATAAAAATATGTATAAAACAAAAATAAATAAAGAAGGATGGGGGGAACCTATAATATAAATGAGTTAAATAAAATGTAATTGAAAACTTATGGAACACAATGTACACCTATAAAACACAATGTATATGAATGATAAAAATATTAATAATTTTTAAATCATCATTTTTGGTTTTGTTCTTAAGTGCTGTTGCATTGCCTGCGATTCATAGCGACCCTATGTACAACAGCCCTGAACCCTGCTCTATCCTGTGCCAATCTTACTGTCTCTGACACACCCACCCCCATTACCACAGTCACTGAATCAATCCATTTCATTGAGGGTCTTCCTCTCCTGTGCTGTCCCTTCACTCTCCTAAGCATGATGTCCCTCTCCAAGGACTAGTTCCTGCTTGCAACATGTCCAAAATATGTCAGATGAAGCCTCAGAATCCTTGCCTCCAAGGAGCAGACTGGTTTAACCCTTTCCAGGACAAATCTGTTCATTCTCTTAGCAGCCCATGGTATATTCTATAGTCTCCTCTAATACCACAGCTCAAAGGCATCAATTTTCCTTCTATCCTCCCTAGTCATTGCCCAACTCTCTGGCACATAGCGAGTGATTGCAAAGACCATGGCCTGCATCAGGCACACCTTAGTCTCCAGAGAGACACCATTGCTCTTCAATACTTTGGAGAAATCGCTAACAGCAGACTTTCCCATCACAATACATCTTTTCATTTCCTGGACACTGGTGCCAAGAGTGTTGATTAAAAATTTAAATAAGGTAAAAAAAAAAACAACAACAATGCAGTATCATTCTCTGATGCCTGAAGTGTTTCATCTTTCAATTGAGAAGTATCCATCTTTTAACTATCAATGTGAAATCATGTGTAAGCATCTATTCTCAAGTTTCTTAAACAGCACAGATGAAACACTTCCCTTCCTGAGTCAAGATCATTCCAAACATCACCTCTCGCAGCTTTTTGTGCATCGTCACCAGACTCTCATTTGTTATTGCTGAATCAACTCTCTCTTTGGAATTTTTCATTTCTAACCTGTGGGCATAAAGATTTAAAAAAAAAAAACCTGCCCTTGTGTGTATTTTTTAAATATAATAGGACATAAAAGCTTCTTTCTATTGATTTATTTCTCCAAGTGACTCGTCCACTTAAAATGCAAGGCTCTTTAGGAGAATTAAGAAGGTCGCAAGACCTCACTCTAGGTTCATTTGTCAGCAGAGGACAGATCAAAGATCATGGCTTTGCCCCAAATTAAGATTCCTAGAAACTTTCCTTTCACGGTAACTCCCTTCCTCTACCTACTCTTCCTTCCATAAACTCAGCTTCCCACAAACGCGTCCTCCTATGTCCAATCCAGCAAAACCTTTCTGGGATCTTAGTTTTCACAGCTACTGACTCATCTCCCTTCTCTATTTGGTCACCAAACTTCACAGCATGCTTAACTCTACAGCTAATGCTTTCCTGCCTTCCCTTTCTGCTCACCAATGAGGCCAGTGCAAACTGGTTCTCTCCTCCAAGCACTCCACTAAAACCTCCTTTCTGAAGGCGCCCGTCATGACATACAAGTCAAGACTCCTCCTCCTGGTCTCCCCTGGGTCATCGTCTCCATCATTTGTGACTCTGTCTGCATTACAATCTCCAGCCCACAATAACATCAAAATTACCTTCTTGAAATGTTGTGATATCCTAAATCATTTCTTACACTTCATATTCCAGAGAATAAAGGGCACTCAACCTTGATAATCCAGCCCCAACTTGCCCTCCCAGTCCTGTCTCCTACGTTAGCCTGCCTAGAACAACATGCTCTGGCCATCTAAGAATAATCACTGAGCATCCTATGAATTCTCCGTGTATTCTACACACGGAGTATTCTGTATACAACACATGTCCGTGTATTTGCACATGTCCCTGCCTTTATTCAAACTCCCCTCTCTACTGCAACTGCTCCTTATCTCTACCGAAATTCTACTTCTAGACTAAGTGGAACTTTATCATTTCTTATCATGATTTTAATTGTGTCTCACAAAAAGGTTATGTTGAAATCCTACCTCTGTACCTGTGGATTTGACTTAAGTCAGATTCAGTAAGGTTGAATCCTCGTCCTGATTCCCTCCTTTCTTGGATAATGTCTTGGAAATATGGAGAATATACAAGAAGAGAGTCACATATAAGGTCAAATTCTTTTCTACAATCAAAGGAACACCAAGAACTGCCATGAGCTACAAAAAGCAGAAGGAAGCAAAAGTTCATTATAAAGAGAGAAAGAAAAGATCAAAAGGGATGATAGAATCAACTCTGAAAACTGCACTAGAAGGCGCAGAGGCCAAAAAAAAAGATCAGAAATTCTGAAGTAAGAACCTTTCAAAGGGTAGCTCCAGAGAGTGAAGATAATGTTAAGTATTATAACGAAATGTGCCAACAGCTGGAGTTAGAAAACCAAAAGGAAAGTACATGGATGACATTTCTCAGACTGAAAAATCTCAAAAACAAATTCATGTCTAGAACTGCCTTACTGAAGGATTCCGTGGGCAAAGTCTTGTATGACACAGGAAGCATTTAAAGAAGATGGAGGGGAAACACAGAATCACTCGACCAAAAAGAATTGGCCAACACCGAAAAATTATGGGATGTAGCATGAGATCAAGAACCATGGTCACGAAGGAAGAAGTTCAAGATGCACTGAATCATTGGTTAAAAAATAAGGCCCCGGAATCAATGGACTCTCAATTGACATGTTTCAACAAACTGATGCAGCCCTAGATGGGTTTACCAGTCTAAGCCAAGAATTTGGAAGACAGATACCAGGCCACCTACCTGGAAAAGAGCCATATTTGTTCCCATTCAAAAAAAAAAAAGGCAATTTAATAGAATGTGGACATTATCAAACAATAACGTTAACAAAACATACAGGTAAAATCTCGTTAAAGATTATTTTAAAAAAGGTACAGATACCAAATTCATTTTTCAGGGGATTGAAAGGGAAATCGCCGAGTTTATTGGGAGAGGCAAGAGACTCCAAATAAGCAAAGTACTTCTGAAACACAAAAATGAAGATGGAGGCATAGCAGTTCCTGACTTCAAAACCTACTACGTAGCAGTAGCAACCCAACAGCATGGTACTGGTACAATGACCAGTACATAGGCCAATAGAACAGAATTGAGAACCCAGAAATGGACCCAGCTACCTATGGTCAACTGATATTCGACAAGGATATAAAATCTATCAAATGGGGAGACGTACAACCTCTTCAATGAATGGTGCTGGCAAAACTGGACTGCTACTGGCAGAAAGCTTAACCAGGATCCACACCTCACACCATACACAAAAAGCAGCTCAAAGTGGATCAGAGACCTGGGAGTAAAGCCCCAAATCCTGAAGTCCATGAGAGAGAAATTAGGATCAAGCTTAGACAGCCTAGTCTATGGTATGAAGACACTGCCAAATAAAGCCAGAAATATACAATCTGAAAAGCATAAAATTGATCAATGGGGCTTTCTAAAGATTAAAACCTTCTGTGCATGAAAAACATTCTCCAATAGAGTGAAAAGAAAACTGACTGACTAGGAAACATTTGGCAATACTATTTCAGACAAGGGTCTCATATCAAAAGTTTACAGAATCCTACACTGCCTCTACAAGAAAAAGACCGATAACCCAATTACAAAATGGGCAAAAGACATGGAAAGACTTTTCACAGAGGAAGACATTCAGTTGGCCAACAGACACATGAAGAAATGCTCGAAATCACTGGCAATAAGAGAGATGCAGATCAAAAGGTAATCATAGGTTTGCACAATTTAATGGGTGGAGGCTAAAGAAAATGGGAAAGATCCAGTGTTAAAAACAATGTATATGAACTTTGTGACTAAAAAGAAAAATAAAATAAAAATTGTATTTAAATAAAAAAAGACATGCTATATTGTTCTGGACATGTTGTCCAGGACCTCTCCAAAGTTCTAAAAAGCAAGGATATCAGTTTAAAGACTAAGGTGTATCTGATCCAAGTAATCTTTTTTCTTAATTCCTATGCTTCTTATAGTTCAACAGTGACTAAGGATGACAGAAGGAGATTCAATGTCTTTGAGTTGCAGTGTTAGAGAAGAATATTGAATATCTCATGCATTGCTAGAAGAACAAACGTGTATATCTTGGAAGATGTACAACCAGAGAGCTCCTTAGCTCCTAAGGATGTGGAAACTTCATCTCATATACTCTGGGCATACTGTCAGAAGGGGCCAGTCCTTAGAAAAGGGCATCATGCCAGGGAAGATGGAGGGTAAGAGAAAGAGAGGAAGACCCTCAACGAGATGGACACAGTGAGCAAAGGACTTGAGCACATCACGGTAAGGAAGGTGCAGGATATAGGTCAAGTTCAGATCTGTTGTTCATAGAGCCACTATGAGTTTTAGGTGATTCTATGGCACTTAACCACCACCACCACCACCACCAAAAAGCCAAAAGAGGCAAGGAAAGATCTTCCCTAGAGCCAGACAATCTCCTCCTGTATAATTACAGCCTCAGAAAATCTCATGTTGAAGATTCAAAAAACTCTGAAGCTCTGAGTATGTTCCAACTGGATGGAATGAACAACAGAGTCAACAGAAGGATCACAGTCCTGATCTGACCTCAGACATCAGCCTCCAAATGGGCTTGTAAACTTCAGTTCTTAAAAGCTACCCAGTAGTGGGTTCTTTTGTTACAGCAGCCAGCCGTCGGGAACGAAGACTCTTCATCTTCTCCAGGAGGGAGCACTGCTCTCACTGAATGGTCTATTTGTTCACTTCCTCTATTACAGCACATCTAATAGAGTCACACAAGCAAGTTGGGGGTTTTCCCAGATTTTTTATGTGAAGCTTTATTAGGGAGATAAAGGATAGATTTTCATTATATAGGGGGGGGGGGTGTGTGTGTGCATGTATATGCATTTCTTTTTTAAAAAATTATACTAGTTTATTTACAAAATTTAAATACATTCTTTTTCACACCAGATTCTTCCAATTTCCCTCAAGCAAATATTGTAATGCCTGACTTCTGTTTCATGATAAGTCATTTGAGATCAGAAACTGGGTATTATTCATACCTTAGCCCCCAACCTTCAGGCTTTCCCCCATCATAGGTATTGAGTTTAATCAAATTAATTTGAATCAAGGAAGTCACAGAAAGAGATCCAAAATAATGCTCATTGCTCCTCAAAATGTGTTCATGCCAGAGATTAATCAATCTAAATCTTGTACAATCCAAACTGTTGTCTGATAAAATGATACAACCAAGAGGAAGCTTCCACCCTTGGGCATGCCCTCGGTTATTACTTTTTGTTTTTCAAAATTCAAGTTGTCTCGCAAAAAATCTCCAGAAACCAGCTCCCCTTCCAGGTGTGCCAGCTGACCCTGAAGCACCTCCAGCTTCGTCTCTGCCTTCTGGGCTCTCTGGAGAGCCTTCTGGTGCAGTTTGGTCTCCTTCCCCAACTGTTCAACAAGCTTAGCTATTTGGGCTTCAAGCTGGGAGACCATCTGGGAACACAGAGAAACAGAGCAAGGATAAGCCTTGTTTTAGATGCAACAAGGTGTTAAAATCTAGTGCGGGGCTCGGGCAGCATAACTATTTATAAGACTCCCTTGCAGATTCTTTGTCAAAAGGAAATGGAAAAGTAAGTCATCGATAGTAGCATTTGCCTCGGGTTAAAGGAATTCTGCATTCATTTAATTTTTATATCATTCCTTAAGCAGGCTAAGTGATCAACATTTACAGCTAACATTTACTTACCTCCAAAATTGCCATGATTTTAGAGTTTGAAAGCTTAGTTGGAAAAAGAGTTTAGGAGGAGAAAAAAAAAAAGACTTTTAAAATTCTACAAAAATATCTATCCCCAAAGAAACTTTCCCCCACATAAATTTGATTAAAGGTTATATAATGAATTAATCTAATGAGTAACTTAAAAGTTCTATGAGACATTCTAGTGTTGAAATAGATTTTCTTTTTTTAAGCTCTCTTTTTTCCTATCTTCTTCTTTCTGTTGAGTATCAAATATGTACTACATGCCACATAAAAGTGTGTAATAATATTCTACGTTCTCAGCATTTTAAGAGTCAAAATTCCTTTATTATAATAACTCTGAATGGGTGAGAGGCATGGTATAAGCTAGAAGCCCTGGTTGTACAATGGTTAATGGCTCACCTGCTAATAGAAAGGTTGATGATTCAAATCTACCGTTGGCTGCATAACAGTTGGAAGAGGCAGGAGGACCTGATTGCTACCTCCTCTTCCAGCCATCAGATCATCTGAGAGAGACCTCAGGGTTATTCACAGCTCGCCTGACTTGCCCAGTCCTCCCAGGTCTTCCCTGAAGTTCTTCTTTTCTTTGTCACCGTCTCCTTAAAGCAGGAGCTGCCAACACTCATCAAGGAGCTCAGGGACACTTCGAGAACACACACATGGGTTTCATAACTCCAGTCCATAAAAAAATGTTGGGTTTAATACAACCACCATGTTTGGAGTGATGAGTTTGTTTTGTTTTGCTGGATTGTTTTGGAAGAGGATAAAGAAAGGACAGTAAAGATCTTCATCCTGCTACGGTACCATTTTCCCAGAAATGGAAACTTTTAAGTCCTTTCAGATTTATAGCCTATGTTGAGGGGCAGGGTGCAGGGGACCCAAAACCAAGACTGCTTTTCTCGATCAACAGCCCCGGTTAAAGCAAGAAGACATTCTAAAACTAAACCCATTGGCATCCAGTTGGTCCTGACCCACAGAGACACTGTGGAAGAGTAGGACTGCCTCATAGATCAGCCCTGTCAGGGAGTGACGTATCAGGCGGCTCACCAAAAGGTCAGTGGTGTGAAACCACCAAGGGGAATGACGGGCAGTCTCCTTCCACAGAGGTTCACAACCTCATCAACGTGGGTTTTTAACGTGTGTGGACGCAAACTGCCGTGTCTTTCTGCAGTGGTTTCAAACCACTAAACTTTGCATTAGCAGCAAGGCCACCGGAGCTCCTCTACAAGACAGTCTAGCCGTCTTCACATCTTTTGAAAAGTTATTTTGTGGAAGAGAACGCAAGATTTGTTCTGAGTTACCCTCAGAGCTCAGATTTTGAACAACTAGGGATAAATCAGAGGAATTCCACATCAAAATCATGAGAAAAGTCATACATAGTCCGTGAAAACACAAATAAATGCAAATGAGCCAAAAATAGTCACCTAAGATGCCACAGCCCAAAGGTAACACTAATTAATGAATGACAGCTTTTTATGCACAAAGGCAGCTTGATGGTATAGTGAGTTAAGCATTATACTGTTAACCAGAAAGTTATGCCTTTGAATCCTGCAGCTCCTCTGCAGAAGGGTGAGGGAGGGTGCTGATAAACTTTCCAGTCTCCAGAGCCCTACAGGGAAGCCCTCTGGGGGAGCCCTACAGGGGAAACCCTATGGGGGAGCCCTCCAGGGGGGCCCTATGCAGTCCTGTAGGGTCACAGTGAGTCTGAATCAACTGAAGACAGAGTGGTTTTGGAGGTTTTCTGTGTACTGTTAAGTCAGAGCTGAGATGAGGCACTGTGTATATCATTTCCTATCTTTGCTTTTGTGTAAGTGTATTTTAAGCATCTTCCCGGCACATTCTTTACCGTTATAGCGACTGCATTCAAAAACTCACAAAAATTTAGTTCTCCATGTTTATAAGGAAGGAAAAACTTTTTTATTTTTGCTGTTTCATTTCAGTGACCATAGAGGCAGCTCCAGCTCATATGGACCCCACATACAACCAAAGAGCCCGTCGCCTGGTCTTACACCTACTTCACAGGCGGTTGGTATTTGTGTGTCCACTGTATGCTTTGAGGGTTCCCAGTAGTCTATCTGACAGTGTTCTCCTGTGATGCATAGGATTTTCAGGGGCTACTTTTCCAAAGATCACTAGGCCTTTCTTTCTTGTCTTAGTCTGAAAGGTCCTCTGAAACCTGTTACTTTGCGTGATCCTGCTAGTATTCAAAACACCGGTTCTATAGCTTCCAGTGTGATAGCAACATGAAAGCCACCACGGTAGAAAATATAAACTGATCATTTTCTGAGATTACCAGTTTTAGGTAATTGTTGTTTTAATATCTATAATAATGTTGTTGTTATTGTTAGGTGCTATTGAGTTTGACTCATAGTTTGAGCCACAGATCTGAACCCTGTCCTACCCAGTGTATAATAATTACTTCTGATAAATGTCGTTGTCTAGATAGACTCCTCAGAAGATTTATGTCAGTAGACTAAGTTTCTGCACAATAAGTGTTCTGTTTTCCCACTGGACTTCAAACAGCAAGTCAGTGTATCTGTGAAGGCCACAGCATTGCTCTTGAACTGTAGTTGGTCCAGCAAAGAATATGGAACCAAAGAGAGAGAAAACACAACCTCAACAGGAGAGACAGACTCTGCGTGTGAGCACACAGAGGCAGCCAGCACCCGCAGGCCTGACGAGGGGAAAGCACAGCCTCCCATAGTGCCCACCAGTGAAGACTCCATTCTGAAGATGAGCAAGAACTTGGCCCGAGGTAATGATAATGACCTTGTGATGGTTAATTTTGTGCATCGACTTGCCTGGGCCACGTTACCCAGGTACCTGGTGAAACATTAGATGTTGCTGTAAAAGTATTCCTACCGACTTAACACTTGACCTAGTGGGGAAGGCGTTGCACTGCCAACCCAAAGTTGTGAAGTTCAAGTACACCAGCTGCTCCTCAGGAGAAAGATGAGCCGTTTCCTCCTGTGTGGTTTAGTCTCTGAAAATCCACTGACGTGTCAGCTGTGAGTCGATTCTGACTTGACTGCAGTGAATTAAGTAAACATGATCACCCTCTATCTACATTGTGGGGTGGGAGATTTCATTCAAATACTGAAGGTCTTAAGGGAACAAAAAAAAAAACACAACCCAAGAACAAACCATAGTTTCTCAAAGAGAAAAGAATTCTACCTGAAGACTGTAACAGAGCAATCCTGCCTGCCACACAGCACACGGATTCCAGAGTCAAGACTGCTGGGAAGTCCTCCTTAAAACGTTTCTCTATGTATGAGTGCAGATGTGTATACACACACGTATCTGCATATAAATATACATATGTACGTATGTGTAAATATAAATAGCGGGAGCTCTAGGAGTCTACGGTAAGAAGGCGCGCTGGAATCCTGAAGGCACATGGTTCAAACCCACCAGCTGCTCCACAGGAGAAGGATGGGCAGTCTTTGCCTGTGCAATAAACTGCCTCTGAAAATCCACCAGAGCGTCAGCTGTGGGTCAGTTCTGACTCAATGCTACACAACAACAACATAAGGAGAAATAACAAACAGAGACAAGTTATTGCCATCAAGTTGAAATTGACTCACGGCTGATTGCTTTGGGTTTCCGAGGCAGTAAGTGCACAAGAGGACATTGTTCACTCTTTTCGCAAAGAGCAGCTAGCGGGTTTGAACGCTCAGAAAGGCATGACCTTTGGGCTAACAGTGCAACTGCCACAGGACCGTGTCACCAGATCTTCCTGAGAGATGTACATTGATACGGATATAACCGTGTCTCTGAGGGATGTACATTGATACGGATATAACCGTGTCTCTGTCTCTGTCTCTATCTACACACACACACACACACATATATATATATATCTCAATCCTGTTGGTTGTGTTTCTCTGGATAGCCCTGCCTAATACAACCGTGTGTTAACACTGAGATGCTGGGAATGGCATAATAACACATGAAGAATATATATCCCAGTTTTTCTAAATGAACACGGACACTAAGACAAACTCTCCTTGGAGAGAAAGTGGCTTGGTTTTTGAAATATAGTCATTACACCTTAAAGGAGTTCATTCACTTCTCAAGGCCTAGTAACTATTGATTTCTCCAGAGAAGTATTGTTGCCTTGAGATTAAACCAAATAGGAGCCCACCCTGCCCCCCAGAAAAGTACTAAATTGAACAGAAAGCTACTTGGGTCACTTAAGGACCAGTGGCTTTTTGGTTACAAACAATCATTTTCCAATTATCATGTCAAGTTAGAATTGTCACCTGGGAAAACAATCAAAAAGTTACCAGGTATCAGGACCATAATGTGTCCTCCTGGTCAATAACTGTTAACTGACCAATCTTACCCCTTCTGCCTCTGTACAAGTTAACTAGGGAGGCTGGCCAAGCTATAAACTAAATAATCACTCTTCTAAGATGCCACCATGGTCAGCAGTGGCCATGGGACATCATTTTGGACAATGAAGAGTCAGTGGAAGTCTGCTGGTGCTTCTGGGAAAGTGTCTGGTTTGGGAGACAGAAGAATAAGGGAAACATATCCACCTTACTTTCTTAGTACTGCTATAACAGAACTTCCTCAGGTGGGTCATTTTAAAGAACAGAAAACTATTTAGCAGTTCAAATTCAGTGCATACGTTCTAGGTAAAGGTCCTCTTTCTGTTGGCTCCAGAGTAAGATTCTTTTCTCAGTTTCTGTAACTCCAACATTTATTGGTCGCCAGATGAGTCTTACATTTGTTT